ACTACTTAAATTAGGCACCAAAAGTGCATGTGTGGCTAGTTGTAACCTCCAATGTAAGGTGAGCTCTTGATGGCATGCCATGTCCTAATATACTTGAATAAAAACATCGCAACTCCCAAAATAAGGACTTTAACTTCAAAAAAAAAAAAAAAAAAAATAATAATAATAATAATATTAATAATTCCTATAAGCAAAATTTATTTTCTTTTAGTAAAATAAAATAAAATTATTAGTATTACATTACCTTTCTTAAACTGCTTTAGAGAAGAATATAATTTCTTGATAACATCTAATAAAAATTATATTTTTCTCTTGAAGATCACATATACCTATAAGAAATTTCTTATGCTGTGTTATTTTTATAGTATAAAAATTAAGAAAACTTTCATCTATAATAATATCAATAAACTGATCATAATTCTATCAAACTATCTGAATTGAGAGTCTGATAAACAATCAAGAATATACTAAAATATTTTAAATATGCTATAAAGTAGATATTAGAATCTATGTGAACTTTACAAGAATACAATGATTTAATAATTAAGTCTTAATTATAAATGTTGATTCTGTTATAATGATATTAGATTAGTTGTAAAAATAGATACAGAAGACTCCAAGAGGTTTATCTCAAGAATAAAATAATCCTAAGATTGAAATAATAATCTAAGTATCTAAATATAATTCAATAATGTTAACAAAAATTGCAGGTTTAGAAGATTTAAAGTAAAACATCCAAACAGAAATATTAGATATGACAATTGGTAAGAAACTTTTAAGCAGACTCCTTAAATAAGTAATATAAAAAAATTACATGTGTAACCAATTGTATGCTCTCCTGTAGTGACTCATAAAATCACATTATCAAAAAAAATTCGTTAATAAAAGTCAAAAGACCAAAGAAGCCACCTTAACAAAAAAAAAAAAAATTAACAAATTGTGTAAATAAATTCTAATCTAAATTTAAGAAACAGAATTTGTTATATAAAAGAATAATTTAGAAATAACTAAAACTAAAATAGTAAGAGAAGTAATGAATATAAGAATAATGAATATGTTAAAAGAATTTTTGAGCTGTCAATTTTTTTTGCGATTTGAATCAGCCAATCAGAAGAATTTCCACTATGATTGCTTTAGCTGTAATGCGTGTAACCCAAAAAATTTGATTTAAAAACGTGAAACATAAAATTTCATGCCTTATTAAAATGGCTGAATTCGAAAACAACTTTGATGACCTCTTGCAAAGGCCAGCAAACAATAATATATCCGAGACCTTGAGCAATGTAGACGTGTCTAATCCATTTCATGACGCAGTCTCACTTTTGATTGCGCCAGTAAGTCCTTTAACTGATGTTAGTGATAAGGATACATACGACTTATATATCGAGTCTCCTCTGAACAATCCGTTAAAGGATAGCCTGATCTCCTCCGAACCGGAAGTACAAAGTATAGAGATCAAGTTTGACGAGGAAAGGAATTTCGAAGAAGTTGATGTGTCTTCCTTTAAGGGGACAGATACTACCTCAATTTCATCAGAGGGTCACGTTCATGAAATTAGCAATAGTGACGAGTCTTTTGATGAAGAAAATATTATCGGAAAAGAATCACACGTGCAGTCGAGAGTAGCAAGCTTCAGTTTGAATGCAAACCAGGTAATTATAGTAATAAGCCATTTTGACCATTAATAATTCCGGAATTCGCATTAATGAAACTTTTAAGACAAATTTTCATGGGATTGGAGAGTCGATTCCGGTATTCGAAATCACAGTTGAAGACCCGCAAAAAATTGGCGATCCCATCAATGCACATATTATATATAAAGTCCGAACTAGGGTATGTTTAAACGATGGAAGAAACGCAATACTTCATGTTATTAAATCCACGATCTAAATTGCAGACTACATCCACTGCATTTAAAGATAAAGAATTCACAGTTTTAAGGCGATATCGTGATTTTCTGTGGTTATATAATCAATTAACGCTCGGTAATCCGGGAGTCATAGTTCCACCTCTACCAGGGAAACATGTCATTGGTAAGGGTTGTTAATGTAATAAAAGTTGCACATGCTAGACTTTAAACAAGTAAATAACTTGATTGTAGGTCGATTTCAGGATGAATTTGTAGAAAATCGTCGTCAAGCACTTGAAAAATGTTTGAATAAGATCATATCTCATCCGATGTTATGCTGCAATCCAAATTTAAAGTTGTTTTTAGAGTCCGATACTTTTGTTACTGATGTAAAGTTTATAAAGCTAATTTAACGGTAATTATATAGTAAGCAAGCTAATATACAAATTATCTGATGACAGGTCAAACGTAAAAGTCAAGATGAGTCAAAAAGTGTATTGAAATCATTGGGTGAAGCAGTGTCAAACGCTACCACATTTAGCAAATTTGTAGAAACAGATGAAGTAAGCCTATGACTTTTAATTATTAAACTTTCAAAGTATCCAGGATTACTGATTACATGTCACCTGACGTCAGTGGCTTGAGAATCGAAAAAATCAGTTGGACATTCTGGATTCACAATTGAAGGCATTACTTAAATCAGTTGAAGCTGTTGTTAAACAACGCAAAGGTACTTTTATTTCTTTTAGCATGAAATTATCAATTTTTTTCATTAAACTGATTTCTTAAAGACTTGGGAACTACGATTGTGGATTTTGGGGATAGCATTTTGTCTTTGGCTAACACCGAAATTAATAAGCCGCTAGCAAATAATCTCATGACATTAGGAAACTTACAACGAAATATTAAGGAATTACATGAAAAGCAGGTTGGTGATTGATGTAAACAAATTACAAATGGTGGCATAATATCAAACTATAGATATTTACTTGTTATCAGGCACAGCAGGATGCTATTAATTTAGAAAACACGATAGACGAATACATCCGCCTGATTGGGTCGATTAAGGTTAGTGATCTGCGTTTGTTGATGAGCTTCTTTTTTTTTTAACTTTTGTTTCTGCGCAGGTTGTATTCAACTCTCGTTCCAAGATTTATCAGACATGGCAGAATGCTATATACGATTTACAAAAGAAAAAGGCGAACTATGAAAGGCTAAAAGTTCAAGGAAAGATAGGCCAAGATAAACTATCGATCATGTTAGCACAAATTGCTGAGGTGTGAATTGTCTACATTTAAATTTTTTTGTCATGCGTGCCTTTAATAGTTTGAGTTTTAAAGTTTATGTACTTATTTAGTCTGAACATCGTGTGGAAGATAGTAAGCACGAATTTGAAGATGTCTCTAAACTTATTAAGGCTGAATTGGATCGATTTGACAAAGAGAAGGTAGAGGATTTTAAGAATAGCGTTGAAGCTTTTTTGGAATCAATGGTAAAAACGCAGAAAGAGGTAAATTAACAATCTTATGACAATTTGTTTTGGTTTGTTTTTTTTTATTTATTTATTTAATCTTATTTATTATTTTTTAGATCATTAATTTATGGGAGTCTTACTCCGCGCAAGTAGAATTACTACAGAATACAAATTCAGAAGATTATTCTGTTATGGCATCATGAAAATGAAATCTTTCGCAAAGCTTGAAATAAAACTAAAATATAAATTAAAAAATTATAAAGTAAATCAAATTCCCATAAAAATTATCCGTGTAACAATTATATCGCAATTGTTTGTTTGTTTATCTGCTATCTATACTTTTTTATATCGCTGAGTAGTCTCAAAATTTTTTGGTCAGATTTATCTTGTAAGTTAGACTCTTTTAGATTATGTAAAAAAGTAACCAATCAAATATCAGGTAGTACGAACTTTAACCATCACTTTCATCATCATTCTTTGCAGTGTTGCAGAAGAAAGCATCGACTTGAAAATGAACCCTTTTCCCCATCTAATCTATCAGCCAAACGGTTCCCCAAATGGTCCGGTGTCCCCAGTACATTCTCCCGCACATACGCCGTCACCGCCTGCAACGTCTCCAGGTCAAACTTCACCGTCTCTTAGTTATCTTGCTCCTCATGGTGTACCGACAATTTACGGTGGTAACATGCACCTGTTTCCATTTCAATCGAAATTACCGTCAATGGGACACGCATTTGGTCCACATTCCCTCCTTAACCAAACCTCTGGATCTCCCGGACAAGCTCTAATGTCTCCGCCGTCATTTACTTCAGGTGTAACCAACATTTTAACAACAAACAGCTTAGGTACTATCAATACGACACATTGGCAACAACAACTAAATTATGCTCAGTTATCTCGTCAATCGGCTACACCTCACCACCACGCACGACAGGCTGCTGCAGCAGCTCGTAACAGTAGTATTGGTAGCTCGGCAATCGCAATAACAGATCCAAACAATCCGAATAAACCACCATTAAATGGCGTGCTTTCAAAAAAAGAGACAAATGGAGATAAGCACGATCCACCTTTTCAACAATGGATGACTATTGATCTGGGTGGCATGGGCCTCAAAAATATTAGTAAAGAACTATTCCAATACGGCTTTCTCACCACTCTCTATATAAATCATAACAACTTGACATACGTTTCTCCGGAAATATCCAAGCTAAGACATCTTACCTTGTTAGATATCTCTGGTAATAAATTGTCAGTTATACCACCTGAGTTAGGTATGCTGACTAATTTAAGAGATCTTCTACTGTTTGATAACTTGATCGTGACTTTGCCTTTTGAATTGGGTACACTCTATCAATTGGAGACACTCGGGCTGGAAGGAAACCCGATAAATGAAGCAATAAAATCCTTGCTACAAAAAGACGGTACATCGGCTGTTGTATCATTTTTACGGGAGAATTGTCAAGGTACATGGATTTTAATATGATTCAAATTATTGACTTATTCATTATATATACTAGTAGCATATATGGTTACTAAATCTTTATTTAATATTATCAGTACCGCCACCTCCAATGGAAAGGGATTGGATAACGTTAGAGAATGAACCCGCTGGTGGAGATCGTGGTATGTCCCCAGTAACCGGACATTGGTTGTCCACCATGGCAAAGAAATGGTGACCAAAGCCCTAAATGGTATACCATACTCTATTCTCATTATGGTGTTTTTATTGGATTGATTTGTTTTTCTATGTCAAGCAGATACTTTTACGCTCCTTTGCTATAATATCCTGTGTGAAAAATACGCCACCACTCAACTATATGGATATACTCCTTCGTGGGCCCTTTCATGGGATTATCGGAAAGAGCGGATCAGACGCGAAGTGTTGAGATATAATGCGGACATCGTGTGCCTTCAGGTAAGTTAATATAACGTGTCACGCTGTTGATTCATTTATCTCTATTTTTTGCTTTTGCACATATTATTCTATTCCATTTCATTTATTATAGGAGGTTGATACTTCACAATATGAAGAATATTTTAAGGATGTATATAGTAAGCTCGGAGATTATGATAGCTTGCATTGGCCAAAGTCTCGTGCAAAGACAATGACTGATGTAGAAAGGAAATCGGTTGATGGATGCGCAACATTTTTTAAGTCTTCAAAGTATTTGATTATTTCAAAATTTGTCTTTTTTTGTCACTAGCAAATTTAAAAAATTCGTGCTAATCGAGTTATGATAATTATTGTTGCAGATATAAATTAATCGATAAACAATTGATCGAGTTTAATCAAGTTGCGTTGCAGAGGCCTGACATAAAAAAAACAGAAGACATGTTCAATCGTGTTATTACCAAAGACAATATTGCAATTGTAACATTACTCGAGAATAAGGAAAATTTTTCACGTCTTATTATTGTAAACTGTCATATTCATTGGGACCCCTCATATGCAGATGTCAAGCTTGTTCAAGTTGCAATGCTAATGGATGAACTAGACAAACTTGCCCAAAAATGGTGTGATATACCTAGCAAATCAATTTATAATTACAGTTCCCCACAAAAGATATCAACCATAATTTGTGGGGATTTCAATTCTACTCCTGATTCTGGAGTGTATGAATTTCTTTCGCGTGGTACCATAAAACAAGATCATTGTGATTTTGGTGATCATATTTATGGCTCATATGTATCGGAGGGTTTGTCGCATAGGCTTTCACTAAAATCTGCATATTCCAATATCGAGGAGTTGCCATTTACCAATTTCACACCTAGGTTTGCTGGGGTCATTGATTACATTTGGTATTCTACTAATACATTAAGTGTTACTGGTCTTTTGGGCGGTGTGGATAAAGAATACATGTCAAAAATGGTTGGATTTCCGAATGCACATTTTCCGTCTGAGTGAGTAAATTTATGATAAATCGTTAGATTTTTATTTTTTTTCTAAGTAATTTTTATGTTTATGTATACATTTTTTCAGTCATGTCGTAATCCTGGCCGAATTTCGGGTAAAGCCTCCACAACCAATACAACCACCGCCTCAATTTGGTGGCTTGTCAAACGGTGGCAACAGTTCGCAACGGAGACTTAACACTCAATTAGGTTCTAAGAAATAGTCATACAATATAATAAAGTGTGTTACAAAACATTTTTGGACAATGTCAAAGATTAGGGTGATCTAACTATCCTGTAGACGTTTGGATATGGCTGTGATGATGGATATCTTTTAGTGATGATTATTCATTTTTTCTTTTGGATAACAATTTGAGATAGATGATTTTTATTGTGGTTGGAAACTATTAATTTTCTTGCCACACAAAATTTTTCATTCTTTTTTTATCATGTAAATAACACCGGTACTTAAATTTGGTGAACAAGGATTCAATTTATGGTACCGAAAATCTTGGTATTCATTACATACAGATGACATTTTTTATTCGATTTTTTTTTTCACTTGTAAGAATAAATTTTTTTTTATTATCGCTTTCTTTTTTATACCATAAAAATTTGTTTTTTTTATCAAATAAGGATGATGTGTAAATAAGACCTAAAAAAAATAACTGATATTTAAATTTTTATAAATTTACAGTTTTCTTTAATATAATCATCAATGATATTTATGTATCGCTTAACGGCGAAGAAATCATACCTTAACTATCCTTCATTGAATTGGAATGTTTCGTTCGGCTCTCCTCCATAAACTTTTCTTTCTCTTTTTTTAACATCTTGTATTCTGCCTCCTTATTGATAATTTCATTACGAAGATTTATTATGTTAACCATACCTGAAAGACCTAAATTAATTCCAAAATAAGTGATAATGGTTCAGATAAAATAATATCATTAATTAAATTATTAAATATTTACTTTGCTTGAAGTTCCTTTGCGACTCTCTTAAGGATGATGGAACTAAGATACCGAACCAACGTAATGGATCTTCAATAATACGGGTTTGTGATCGTTTCTTTGTTACATCATTGTCAGAGTCCTTTATTATACGTCGGCGAAGAGATGAAGAGCCATTCTCCTTAGGATCTTCCGTAATTTCTTCGAGAGTGGTCAAAGTATAATGATAAATGAATTCGCTTTGTGCACTAAGCATATCGGTATTTTTTTTTTGAGATATCAACCTGTCATGACATACGGATCAACTCTTTGCTTAAGTCAGCAATTTATAACAAATAGAGCAAAAAACTAACATTCGAGTAGTAGCTTGCATCCTTCCATCATACTGGTTTTGATTTAACCTATGAGGACCCATTGTATATCTTGCATGAGCTAGTTGAAAAAAACCCTAAAGTGTTTGTTCGCGTAAGTTTGATAATATGCGAAGATTTACGCTATTCGTAAGCCTTTACTTACATCCCCTAAATTTGTACTAATCTGTTTCCATTGCTCTTGTAAGGCTGAGATTAAGCTTAGATATTCTAATAAGATTTTGTCCATTTTTACACAAATTTCTTCCATGATCATCTAAAATCTACGATTAGCGATTAAAATATTTTTACTAACCAACCTACTCTGTATTTTTATTATGAAATTCGTATGGGGAATTCGAGAACCTTATATTTAAGGGTAGTGGGTATACGTAGTAGATCATTTTCTATATGATCTACATGGTAAATTACATTTTTAGTTAAAAACGAACAAAAAAAATTTATAAAAATAATATATATCTTTTGGACTTAATTAGGTGTCGCATGTGCTTATACATCGCATATTAATGATTGGCCAATCAAATTTCTATATCAGGTGTAACGTAGCACGATCAGGAAGATTCAAACAAACGTTCGTTTTGACAAAAGTCACTTATAACTCAAATTTTCACATATGACACTATCTTTTATACTCTAACAAAAAAATTCCTTGAAATTTTTACTATAAATTCTTTCTGTTTATTGCATTTAATCCTACATAACCCTAACTTTAACTAAACAAAAAACTAATTTATTTTAGTTGTTAAATTATAATTTATTATAATTTGTAAATATATATGATGTATAAGCACATCACAGTATGTGATGTATACATTTATCCTTATCTTTTTATAAAATTTTAAAGTTTAATTATAAAAAATTTATATATGTTATAAAGTTTGTCTAAGTTAATTCAACTTTGCTTAAGTAATACAAAATAATTTATTTTGCTTAGTTAATTTCTATAATTTTATATAATAGATTTTATAATTTTTTTTTTTTTCTTAAGTAGTTATGATAGTACTTTATTAAACCATTTGTAGCTACATATGTAAATACAGAATATCATTTAACTTATAAGTTTACCATCATCAGATCACTTAAACAATACCTAAATATAACCTGTTATATTAATTCAGTTAAAACTAGAAATTACAACTCATCTGATCTTCACTCTATAATAAGATATTGTAATATTATAGATATTTTTAAACATTATTTTATATTATTTTATTGATATTATATTAGTTTTATATTATA